TTTCGGTTGACAGCCACGCTCCGAGTTGACGCCTTTGTAGTAGCAAGGTTTCCATATATTTATAAAAAATAAAAATAAAAACTATGGTGAACCGAGTAGGCAGAATAAGGGAATTTCTACTTTTGGCGGGATCCTAGGCTAGAAGAGAGCCGGTAAATAAAATAAATATATATTAGATCTCCGATCGTCGATCGATCTTGCTATATATTTATTCCAATTTTTATAAACTAGGCGTATCAATACACTTCAACCTATTTATATACTTTATTCAGTCTATGACTGGCATGTGCTGTCCGATACGCATTGGGTGTCGTGTGTGTAGTGGTGTACATGCAGTCTAGTAGTCAGAAGCACTCCCGTCCAGTGCTTTCGTGTGTGTCCATTGACAGTTGTGCGTCAGACTGATCAGCTCCGTAAACTTACGTGTGCATGACGCCAACTGCAACATGTTCTTCAATCGCAAAGTTGAGCTGGTGGACACCTCTGGCCTACACGGTCTATCGTTGGGGTTTGATTTAGACCCCAATTCACTCTATACATATCTTGAGAACATATCCAAAGGAGAGACAAATGGTTTACCACCCCCTGCAACTTGTGAGTTGATTAAGTCTTTGCTCGATGTCAAGCAGCAGCCCGCGCGGCGTCGGCCAAGGAGGCCACGAGTTATGCAGAACTATAACCGTAACACCGATAAAATAGGAACCATGACCAAAGGTAGGTAGAAGGTGCACAGGCATACATCTACTGGACTATTCGTTTGGATGTCCTGTAGATGTACGAACAAAGTAATGTACCTTGCATGCACACGTGATGATACACATGCATCTTTACACGGATACCTCTTTTGTTTGATTATTCTATAATAGTGTTATTCTATAATAGGGCGTAAAAATAGACAGTGTACCTCTCTGGCGTACCTTTGAAAGAGTTTTGTACGTAAACATTGCACATTGTGGTTCACATTAGAGAACTGAAGTTTCTACATAGTTCGCGTGTCTACTTTGCAAAATTTTCAATACGTATGAATGTGTTGTAATGGTATGCCACTACACATGGACATACACTAATCTGATACAACGCACACTCTGAGTGTTTGCCGCATGTTTAGCAGGGGCTCATCATGTGCCAGTGTTCATGAACTCCGATATATTTCATCACAAACGATTGAATTATATGCGTGTAAATACGTTCAGATAAGAAATGCAGATAGCCTATCCCACAAGCACTCGTGACGACTTGTTAAAGCGTTGGTATCATGAACGTGTATTCAAATAGGGGTAGCTGCAAGGACATATTGTAGTTTATTTATCGCACACGAACGAGCCGATCTGAGCGAATTCTTTGTTTGTGAGTGTTCGAGTTCGAAAGCGCGAGGGAGGTCGTATTCAGAAGTATACACAGGCAACACACATGTCAATCTGGATAAGTATGTGAGCGTAAATATAGCTATGCATCTTCAAACATGTTTTGCAAGAACATATTTTAGTTTATTTATCATAACTGCACACGAACGAGCCGATCTGAGTGAATTCTTTGTTTGTGCGTGTTCGAGTTCGAGTGCGCGAGATCGTATTCAGAAGCATACACAGGCAACACACTCGTCAATCTGGATAAGTATGTGAGCGCAAATATATCCATGCATCCTCAAGCATGTTTTAGGGTTTAGCTAAACCCGTATTGGACGCAAATATAGGCAAAGGTGTTTCGCATACGCCTACGTATACTTTGCAAACACATCTTTACCAGATTCTTGTACTTGGGCGTGTTTGTTAAATCCACATGTGGAACTTTTATTTGAATGACAAATAGAGGGACAAACATTTGTAGCGCGTCGTGTAGTATCATCTCAAGAGTATCCTGTATTGCAAGCATCAGAGGATTAGCCATCTCACCTTAAGCATCAGTATATCAACAGTCTCACCATATAACTCCAGCAGTTCCAAATGGATCTCTAGCCACGTACTTGCATAATCATCTTTTGGTACTTAGAGGGAAATGCTTGCACGGAATCATAAACCTCAGGTCGAGTGTTTGTGCTTGTATTATAAAATCCACATGTGTTCGACTACATATACGTTTGCGATACTCAGCAATGTTCCTTGCATGACTCACACCGCTGCTTGTTTAGTGCTGTTTAGTAAGCCTCGCCTATTTCTGCGTCACACATAAATCTGTACCTCTAGATGAAATAGACGTTCAACATATGCCCTTATCTCTGCGTACATCCACACATGGCTGCCCACATACAGCGTGTTCGTTGTATTGTATCGTCTGGTACTCCGTGCACCTCTGCCAAGGCTCACACTTATTCATACCACATTCCATCGAAACACACATCTACCACACCCTCCCTTATACATACTCTCACACAGTGTACGTTAGCATGCCATACAACACACTTCTATCACACCCTCCCTTACACATACTCTCAAACTGTGCAGAGGCGATGGCTGATCTTCTGGAGACGACGTCTACTCTGTTGAGGATGCGTGTGAGTCGTCGCAAGGGCTTAGCGCTGGTGGTGATTGCTGAGTTGGGCGTGAATCTGGCGTATCTGGAAGATCACTTGCCGTGGCCCATATTACGAGCGCTGCTATGGCCTTTGCAGGGGACAGGTGTGTTGTGTGTGTGAGTGTGGTCATGTGTAGCACGGGTGGGTGTGTGTGTGAGTGTGGTCATGTGTAGCACAGGTGGGTTGTGTGTGTGAATGTGGTCATGTGTAGCACAGGTGGGTTGTGTGTGTGAGTGTGGTCATGTGTAGCACAGGTGGGTGGGTGTGTGAGTGTGGTAATGTGTAGCACAGGTGAGTTGTGTGTGTGAGTGTGGTCATGTGTAGCACAGGTGGGTGTGTGTGTGAGTGTGGCCATATGTAGCACAGATGGGTTGTGTGTATGAGTGTGGTCATGTGTAGCACAGGTGGGTTGTGTGTAAGAGTGTGGTCATGTGTAGCACAGGTGGGTGTGTGTGTGAGTGTGGTCATATGTAGCACAGGTGGGTTGTGTGTGTGAGTGTGGGAGTGTGTAGCACAGGTGGGTTGTGTGTGGGAGTGTGGCCGCGTGCAACTGGAGTGCTTGTGAGACTGCCTCTTTGAGTGTAGATATGTTTGTGAGAAGGTCTGTGTAGCGTCTGATTGTGTGAGGGGCAGTGCTGCATTCGGAGACCAGGGCTGTGTGAGCATATTGGGCAGTACATCTGACACACACTGTACAATAAGCGTAGCGCCACTAGGGGTGCTTGCGTGCTTCCAAGTGGTTCAGGTAGCGGATTTCATTCTTTCACCTTCACTCACTCGCTACATGGGCAACTACATCGGAGTGAGTTTAGCAAACATCAAATGACCTGCGCGAGTCATGTACGATTGTTGCCGAGGTAGGCCTTTACGGGACACGTAAGCGGCCGAAGTACTCACATAAGCGGTTGAATGAGTCGCACACTATTCGTAGACACCGATTTTAAAGTTTAGGGTTTTAGGGTATTAGGGAAGGTTAGGGTTGAGGGTTTATGGATATGCAAAGGGACTGCTGTCCGTAGGAAAATTGAGTGCATGTTACATGTACGTACAATAGTATCTACACACTCCAGCAGTAGCGATCAATCTCCGCTAATACCTATTCCGCAGAACCACCCCCGGGGGCCACGACCAAGGTGTTCTGCCGAGAATGGAAAGAGACAGATCTTGAAGTAGGTGCACTGTACTACCACAGATGGGTCCTGCGCGCCCTGGAACGGGGGACTGTATCGCCCATACTTCTGATGCCCCGCACCCCCAACATCAACACCAGCGCCTCCACAGGTGCACACGAACAAGACACGCCAGAGACACTCTCGCTCACACGAGTACTGGGACTGGATATGCCAGAGATGCCGACCCCACCAGCTACCCCACGCCACACCCACGCACCGGACGACCTGGGCTTAGGCGGTGGCTTAGGCGTAGAGGGGATTGTGGGCGTTGGGGGCATTACGCCCATAGGCAGCCCCGATACGAGTGACGCGGAGAGCGACAGTGGAGGGCATGACAGCGACACAGACGAGGTGTGGGTGGGCACAGGCGGCCGAGTGTTTGAGGACGCCGAGGACGACGAGACCGAGGCCGCGGCTTTGGCCAGAGATCCGGTGTGTGGGGGTGTAGGGTTTGGTGTGTGGGGGTGTAGAGTTTGGTGTGTGGGGGTGTAGGGTTTGGTGTGTGGGGGTGTAGGGTTTGGTGTGTGGGGGTGTAGGGTTTGGTGTGTGGGGGTGTAGGGTTTGGTGTGTGGGAGTGTAGGGTTTGGTATGTGTGGGTTTAGGAGGCCTGGTATTCTTTTGACTTTGATGTGTCTATTGGAAGTGGAGTGGTGTAGAGGAAGGGTGTATCAGAGCGCCAGTCCGCGTACATACCCCAGCAATCTTCGCGCGGGGAACTATTTGATCCACACAGTGTTGGGCGAGTATTTTGGTCTGCGTATTGTATTAGACCATCTAGGTCTGTGTTTTGTGTTATTAGTCTGAACAACCGCTGTGTGGCATGTTTTTATATCATGGCTTGAATGGATTGTTTCCATTGTTGTTAGTACCTCTTTTTTGACTGTATCGAGATTGATTTAGTTAGTGTCCCCCACATTCTCATCCTTGTACGTTTGAGCGAGACGATTACACATGATCTATGTCGATCTGTCGATAAGATGTGGAAACACTATGTCTACAGTCCGTTCGACTTGTCCTAAGAATTCAGACCGTGTCAATCTGCTGATGTTCAAGCTTGGTTGCATCGGACTCTCTTTGCCCCAACGGCTTGCCCCAACCCCACTGATTCAGCAGTAGCTCAGTCCCTGTCAGTTTCATGCACTGGCCCAACATCCGCACCTGTCCTGTTTCTATGGGACATGCATTCACTTCGTATCGCCGTTTCTTTGCTTGCGAACAGTTGTTAGCAGGTGCGCATGGGTTGGACTTGGGCATTGCACACCACACACCGGACATCAGCACTCTCGAGGACACCTCAGCTGACACCGCAGATACGTCGGTGCGCAGAGTGTCTGACTTTGTGGAGAAGTACATCGGAATGGCCCCCGAGGCTGTCAAAGAGGATGGGACGGATGGGCCAGCTGAGACAATTAAAGAGGAGGGGCGCTCGGATGTGCTGGTGCCCCTCTGGCCGGGGTCGTCGCGCAAGGTGTCGGTGAAGGTGATGTGCGTGCAGCTGCTGTATGAGTTGGGGAGATTCCACTCATTCCGCAATAAGTAAGTGTCGATGGATGCAGAGGGCGGGTGTCGTTGGGCACCATGTACCTCTGCACTAGTGTCCATTCGCTATAGTATATGCCTGTTGTTTGATGTAGTATATGTAAGTTGTTTGATATAGTATATGCCTGTTGTTTGATGTAATATATGTATGTTGTTTGATATAGTATATGTATGTTATTTGATATAGTATATGTATGTTGTTTGATAGAATATATGTCTGTTGCATGATATAGTACATGTCTGTTGTTTGATAGGTGTGGTGTGCTTGTTTTTTAATGTGTATCTAACATTATTTCCTCTGGCGTGTGCCTTTGTATTTGTAATTCGATTGGTATTGTTTGCATTTGCATTGGTGCGTGCGATGCATAGTGCGCAGTGCTGAAGTGGAGTTGAGATGCGTCAAAGCATGACCGCTCTTGGAAGTGGTTGCTGATTGTGCTCATCTATTAGAAAGTCAATAGGTTGTTCAGTGTGTTGTTTGCTACGTTGACAGGAGTGTATCCTGAAGCGATTTACAGCCTAGTTTTCTTTGTCATTGGTTTGTATGTTTCTTGGGGCAGAAGGTGTCCTACGATGCACCCGAACTCATAGTGCACCCATTTCCATTCGGCCCCAACACGACTGACGATACTCTAGCTTATTGTTATATATATACATATATTATATTTATATTATTTATATATATATATATATATATATATATATATATATATA